AACAACTGTTTGTAATATCTTTTTTATCTATATCATGAAAGCCATGTGGTATAATATAAATCATGATTTTATTTCGCTCCCATGACTTTTCGGCCATTATGATTGAATCTGGGAGGAAATTGGGTGATAAAACCCGCTGTCAAATTAGGCAACCCCAATATTTGGCTCTGATACAGTATGTTTCTAAGCCTAGTAATTTTAAACAATGAAGTACTTCTATCACCACATGTGCATTGAGCCATAGTAGTCGGAAAGGAAACGCGTGAAATGAAGCCCGGCGAGCCCGGCAAACTTCTAAAGAGCAAGGTTTATATTGGAATAAGCACGATCAAGCGCAATCTTTTGCTTTGAGCTCTCACGTGAATTATTGAACAAAACCACAACTAGTGAAAGACACAAACAAAGAAATTTCAAATGAGTGACAGAAAAAAAAAATGTGTTTTTGGTTCCATGAAATGTCAAGATTTTTTTATTGTACCCGTCAGAAATCTGGCTCAGAGAAATTCAAAATTTCTTTACGGAACTGTGTTTAAAGACTGCTGTAGGTTTTGTGAGAGCTACTGATACAAACTGTTTTATTATCACGATATATAGAATTTTGCAAAAAAACTTTAAACAAATTTAACTGATGTTAATGTTTCACTAGTCTTTTTCATGGGTGTCGTCATATGTAGACATTACCCATCGACTTTGATGAAACTAGCATGCTCGTCCACTTACGGAAAACTAGGTGGTGAGTTTCTAAAAATGCGTTCATGTTGACGTTATCAATGATTTTTAAAAGCGCATAGCCTTTGCCATTTTTTACACAACGAGGAAACAAGCGGGTTTTTCAGTTTCAGTTCCAGAAAATCTTGGTCAGTCTTTCGATAAACGGAGATGAGACGACTGTATTGAGGGCAAAAGAATCTGGTTAACAAACCCGCTGGGTTCTTTAGGTGTCTTATGATTCCTGACCACCTTTCTTTTAGCGAATTATTTCTAAAGGCCAAGGTTACCACAAGTTCCTTCCTATGCGTCATGACGCAAAGAATCTTGCTGGGTTCTTGTGATATATGGGAGGAAAATTGTTGGCAACACCATTTAGTGTCCACATTTTGTTGAGACATGTTTCTTTTTGCGATTTTTGTCTGTTGTGTGAGTTAAATAACTTTATAAGGGCTGTATAGTCGTTTGTAAGAGGCAGAGTAATGAAACGGAGAAGAACAAAGAAACAAAGAAATTCATTTTTGCCTGTCATCATGTTTTTCTTTTTGACCGAGTAAGGTCACCTTGATTCAGTAAAAAGAACCTTTTTATTTCCATTTCGAAGCTTATAATCACTGCATGTGAGCCTGAGACCTCCTTCTCTGTAGGAAATCAGCAAAAAAAAAGTACGCTGCAGTCTTTGAGACACTGGGCGCGTGTTTGGGGGCAGGGAGACGGGAGCTGAGAAAGTGGGCCGTGCTGTAATCCTTTCAGGCTGTTTTAACAATCTCCGCTAAATCAGTGACTGAGTACATGTAAATACCTTAGAATTTTTGAGAATACTCTGTTATCAGAAGAATAACGTTGCTTGCTTTCTAACACATAGGCTGTTCTTTCATGATGGACCCAGGAGTTTACTATCCGACATTGTTAAACATCGAGGTGGGAATCACAGGTGTAAAAAGGTTTGTGCTCCGTTGTTTGCTCTCCATGACATGCGCATTTGTAACGCACGCACACTGAGTTCTACCAGGAATGTATCTATAAGAGTGCTAATTCATGAATACCAGACCCCTTGTAAATCGACATGTAACATTCGTTTTGCTGATGATAGCTAATAGTGAAAAACGAAATTTTAACTGGTAACGTTGCTCACAAATTAAGACATGCGAATTGATGTTCATTTTCAGAGTTATGGCAATTAGAAAGATCTGTCGTTAGCATGCGAGCAGAGGTGTCTATTCGGGGAGCAGATGGGAGGCGCATACCACATATATTCCCTATACCCGTGCGGAGAGCCACGTGCCGGCTTATCTGTCTAAAGAGTTGCTTTTTAACCGGTTAGTGACGATGGTCTCAGTACCTGCGGCATGCAGTCCTCAAATATTGACTAAAGGAAAAGAACTGAGCCAGCCCGAATCAAAACTGAGTGCTTAGTGAAAAGATCTTCAAAATAATTGCAAATGATTTGATTTTATAGAATATCAAATTAAGGAAACTCGAAGAAGACAGATCTTTCCGCCGGGGCACGCGTCAACGTATAGTGCTAGACACTTCTGTGGCGCATCATGCCTCCGATTTCCTGAAATGTGTTTGGACTATTTCGGGAAAAAGACAAAAGGAAAAAGACGTACAAATGGTAAGGAAATGTGCTAACTCATTATTCAAACGCCCACGGTAGTTTTCAAGGAACTTTATATCACTTGTATTGTACCCGATATATACGTGTGCGGGTTCAGTGGTCAGTTCGAGATTCGCTCAGTCAGTCAGTCAGTCAGTCAGTCAGTCAGTCAGTCAGTCAGTCAGTCAGTCAGTCAGTCAAGTCTCGACAAGTCGTTCGCAGGTGAAACTGTAGAAAGATGCACTACTAAAAACTATTGCTGTTTTCATTTTTTCTGGAGATAAGGAATAGAAGTGCTTGCCAACGACAAGCTGATTAGTCTCTAACAGTACCAGGTGCTGTTTTTTATCACTTTTGACTGGTTGCCTTGATTTAAAGCGATTTTCCTTCTGTAAGAATAGGATGAGTCTATTATCGTGTCTTCTCTCATCAGTGTACGATAAATCTTTCACCAAGTTTATCCAGTGTCTTATATTAGGAATATTCTCACAGCTTCTTCAGGAGACGATCACCGACCCCGTTGAAACTTTTAACACGTACGAACGGGGAAAGTTAACAGAGGCGTTGCTATGAATGTGGTGGTTGGTCGAGCTAGAGGAAGGTAGTTTGTATCGTTGAGTGAAACGTTACGGTATGTACGTCCAAACGTAAAGAAAAAAACATTCAGGTGTCGACCTTCACATGACGGCCTATACCTTGGCAAAAACACGTGTTACATTCACAAAGGAAAAGTTAACAGCGTACTTTCAGTTGCTGAGTTGCTGGAAAATCATTTCTGTACTCACGTTAAGTTTTTAATTTCTAACCAATCAGTATTTTCAGAACAGAATTGGACTCTATCCAGTAAGAAGGAATGTCTTGTATTAAACACTGGCAGATGACTTTAGTAAAGGGCCTTTGCTCTCAGTACATGCCCTTTGCGATATAACGAAGTCATAATCTCTATATCATTCAACCGTCCATAAAACTGGTGACGGATATTTTAATAAAAGGCATCCTTGTTAACAAGAGAGACGACTGACCAGTAATGCCTATGTCACTCCAGTTTAATCGAGAAATGGTGGAAAATTTGTTTCCATGGCTCAACTTGTTTCAGTGCGCCCAAACTGAATAATTAACTCAAGAAAGTAATTTTCCGCATGTGCTACTATACTTGCGTGCTTTTTTCCGGACCGGGCTCCGGCTCCACATGGAACTCGTTATGCACTGTCTTCTTGACGCCAGAATTTGGCGATCATAATGTTTGGCGTACACAACCAAGCCTTGGCTTGGCAAAGTTTGATATGACTAAAATGAAGACTGAGAATTTCAACAGTTAGGGTGTAGAATGCATCTGATATGATCCAAAATTCATTGATAATCCGAAGACTCCTATTTTAATTGCAATGTGAAACTATCAGCAAAACATCTTAATGCCTACAGCTTTTACTGATTTCTAGTTCTAAAGTCTTGTTGACATTAGCGAGACCTAAGGTATAGTTTTGGGTCACTCCGATACTAGTTACTGAAAACTTATTGTTTTGACCGCCCTCAGACAATTGAAGGATTATAACTGAATCAGATAAGAAGAGATCTATTTTCCCTTTCTGTGAGCGGCTGTGTTGTCATCGTTGTTGTTTGTTTTGTTTTCCATTTTTCATCAGTTTCTCTTTCATTCAGACTAAGTCACTGCATCTTTATTCCCCAGGGCCCCTATGGATACCAGCCTCGTTGCTGAATGGGCTACCCTGGTTAAATAAAGGTACTTACTTACTTACTTACTTACTTACTTACTTACTTACTTACTTACTTACTTACTTACTTACTTACTTACTTACTTACTTACTTACTTACTTACTTACTTACTTACTTACTGCAATATTGATCATTTTTACCAAATGGCTTTGTGGGGTATCCAAACCTGAAAAAAATCTTGATTTAAATAGTTTTGATTTTAAAAACATATTTTAACCTTCTTCTGACAATGTGGTTTTTATATTCTTTGCTGTCTGCCAACGTTCTAGAGTTGGTTTCCTGTTTTCTTTTTTCTCCACTTCAGCCAGCTTATTTCATTAAAAATAGCAGTCTACGGGTTTATGCTTCAAATGATGACTATAATTTTTTATCACTAATCAGCGGAAGCTTGCTATATTATATGGATCAAAAAAATTATTTGGATTTGCACGCAAACGTAGTATACTTTAAACCGAATGGCACATCATTTTCCAATTTAATTGTTAAGAATTAAGAAAAGATGCATTTAATTTAGTTTAAATATTTCCTTTCTCACGCAGAAAGACTGATAAAATCAAGGAAATAAACGATAGCGTTTTTTTCTGTCTGATCTTACTTAAATGGAATTATACGGTTTATTTTTGGTATTGTTGTTTATATCATTTTAAATTAGACTTGAGTATTTTTCTTACTGTCCAGGGTGCTCCCACTAATTAAATATGCCCGATTACATACTCCCGCACGTGACTTTGTACTTACTATTTGACTGCTCCCTCGTATATAAAAGTAGTTATCCCATAAAATACCTTTGTATTGAATATATTACTTTCTAAAGTATTTATTCCTCGCTCTTTTCTTATAATTTGCTGCGTGAGTAGCCCTGGTGAGCGCGGAATATCGAGCTTTGTTATTTTTCAATTTCCGGTTCCGGCTGCGGATAGTTGATGATTGGCTTGTCAATCTCACACATCCATGATTAAGAGGCAGAGATCAAATATCGCACTGGTTTACAAATATGTAGCGCGGCCGAACGTGCTCATTATTGCTGAAATATCCACAGAGTGTGAGGTTTCCATATTTTGGTTCGTTCACAGCTGATCTGGAGTTAAAATGGTAAAGGCAGTCGCAAAATCCACTGTGGAGAAACCACCGAACGGGGAAACGACGCAACTCTGTCCAGACAACATGGAGGACGAAACGACGGTCGAAAATACAGAAGAAGTTGTGGTGGAATGCAAAGGCGAAAGACGAAGAAGATCTCCTCGTACGTGTGTTTTCATTTGCCTTCTGATTCTGGTGTTGTTAGTGGGATTTCTAGTCGTCTACGCAATCGAAAAATCAAATAGGTGAGTGTTCATTCTTTAGTAAGCGGTTCTGTAAACATGTCGTACGACGTAAATGGCATGAGAGCCTAGTTTTACGCTGAAGTCAGTGAGTGTTTTAATGAAGTATCCTTGGACTATTCTACCATCTATGTTTGCTTTATTTCGATCCATGTAATGAACTTATTCGGACTGGTTTTAAAGTTACCACAGCTTTCGTTTGTTCGTTGGCTTTCTTGTGTGTGTCATTGGAGGCGACCAACACAAAGACACCGCTTAGGCATTCCAAGCTCATAATTGCACGGTAAAACCCCATGCTTTATTTTCCGGAAGAAATCGTCGTAAAGATAAAAGGTAAATTTAATTTGTCGGCGCTGCGGAGATCGCTGTTTGCGTCTTCGCCACTTCACGGTATCTGATGGAACCCTGCAATTTTCATCGACACTGAACCAATGAATGGTCGCTTTGATGCTTGCCTAATTACTCTTATTGACTACGAAATTAACCTACAAATTGCTCAAGCCCTTTCACTGTTGACGGTGACAATAGACCTGTTGTTATTGTAATGAACATTGTGAGTGCACAAGTAAAAGCCGTGCAAATTTCGAAACAACCCGGCTGAGTACAATTCTTAGTTAGAAGGTTTCTTAATTGACCTCGACACTTACAACCTGGATTGACTTAAACCACTTTAATCACTCGGCGCCAAAATTTGTTCTGGGTGTTCAACTCTGTCATTAACATCGGAAGAAGCTTCCTAATGAACTTTTTTGTGCGTTGTCTTGAACGGCTTTTCAGTCTCAATAAGAAACGCATTTTTTTGTTGTAAATTTTTGTCTTTAAAAGCCCATGCCACCAAAGAAGTGGAATTAGAAGCGGTGATTTACACGTGCATATAAAGCTTTCGGCCTCCTAAAAGAGCTTTAATCTTAATTATATAAGTGGATTTCACTTTGCGGGTTTTTACGGATATTGGGTTAGAATTCCAGAAGTTGGTCAAATGGCTTCAATGCACCTTACATGCACAACCTAGTCAGATTAAGGTTTTAGTATAATCAAACCCATCCCACAAGTTTTTCAGTTCAATAATAACCGTAAAATCCAATGAGATTTTGTAACTGGATTTTCCATGAAGCCCGTTTCTTTGATTGAAATCTTTTTAAGCCAGATTACAGTTTGGCATTTTTAAAGTGCACTCTGAAAGATTTTTTCCCTCTATCAAAAACTATAAGTCAAACTATGGGAAATACTCAGCATACCTTTTTAAGTATGTTATTTACGTTTCCAATTAAGCCCAAACAGGATAAAAACATAAACTTAAGCAATTTTCCTTTGAAGATTAAGTTTCATGTATTGTAAGATGAGTTGGGTTTTGATTTCCCACAAAATGAAATCAACACTCTGTCTTGAGGAAGAGCCATGAGAACCTGTCAAGAATGGTTTGACTGAGTTTTATTAGGGATTAATATTATCTATAAATTGATCAACCCCTTGACCTGAGTTAATCTTGTGGGATCTCTGAATGGTCAGACACATCTAGATCTATATCCCCTGTCTTTTGATATGAAAAAGCTGGGAGATCAAAGGATTCAATGAAAGAGATCTGAAAGAATTAAAGCAGGTCTATTTAGATGATAAACAATAGTGCTGAAAGAAATTATAGGGGAACCTTGTGTGGCTGGCTCATTCACTTTATTTTTGCCCAAACAAATGTTCAGTCTAACTCACAAAGGTCACTTAAAGAGACCAACATGTTTAAGAAAATTTAAATATGCATCAAACCTATGCCTGATCATGACCAAAGCATTTCTAAAAGTTCAGTCCTTTTAATTTTTTTGCAGCCCGGTTTAATAGTTTTAACTGTATAGGATTAAATTGAACTTGTTGCTGATAAAATTCTATTTCTGGACAGCTACCCTGCCACATGTAGCCTACAATGAGCATTTTTCTGTTTTGTCTGTCACTGCTGACTACCTTTGTAACAACAGTGGTTATAACAACAAAAGGCATAGGGGACCCAAACACTATATCAGCAGTAAAAATAAATGTGCTGTTTACCTGTGTTATGGTGTCTTTTTGAGTCGTTCAAAAGGGATTTAAATGAAGCGAAAGCGGTTTATATTTCCGAATATTATCTCGCCTGCCACTTTGTAATTATGACACTCCGATTACGTCTCAAGTTTCTATTATCGTCGTTAACTATTAACTCTCATCGAGGGGAAAGATTCTCAGGTTTCATAACGGCTGCGCATTGAAAGAGAAAAGAGACAAGGGGTGAAACTTATCAATAGCTTTCATCTAGTCTGTGACTACAGCTGAGTGGACCAGCCTGCATGGTTCCTGGCGTGGATATGTGCGAGGAAACACGAGATGATGGACGGAGGCCTTTGACTGCAATTTCCCCGGGCAATTTTTGTGCCGAGCGCAAATCTTTCATCAACAATACCAGGCAATTTCAACGTTGGTTACTGGTGAGCCGACTGATATTCTGTATTTTTTCTATTTTCGTTTTTTGGCTCGGTATTACAACATAAATTATATATTTTAGCCAGAGAATACATATGTTTTCATGGCTCCAGGCTGCGCTTCGATGGAGTGCATGCTCACAAATTTAAAAGCACTTCCGGTCCAGTCAAGTGTAGTCACAGATCTGGCAAAAAGCCACGTCTAAATAGAACTCAGAAATGAGATGAAATACAAATATAAAAGATAATGGATAACAACATATGTACCGGTAAAGGCTGTTTAACATACCATGGCTTCTAAATCATTATGAACTGCGGAATCTAAATTTCCGGAGCTTTCAAATGGTGCATTTAACTTAGAAATCTGTGGAGAGGTAGTGGAGGTAAAGTTGTTTACATTAGTTGTTTAACACTGGTGAATTTGAAAGTGAAGAATGATCATCGTAGTAAATTTTCCAATTTAA